ATCAAGAAAATAATGCCAAACGAAGTTAATTGATTCACCATGGTCGATTCCTAGTGAAACCATACGCCTCAGCATTCCTGGAAAATCCAATACCTATCGTCCTACTGTGATGAAGTTTCAAGTGGAAATAGCAGTGTGAAAAGTGAGTATGAGAATGTCTCTGAAATGGTATTTCATATCACTTTATATTATTTATCTCTTTCAGATAAGTTTCTGTAAAAACCATCCGAATCATCCTTCTACTTGGATCACAACAAAGCAGATATAGCAAGAGATATCAGTGTATTTATAGAAATTGTATTTTTATTTTATGTACAGTGTGAAATCTCAGGTGTGTATCCACATATCAGGTTTGAGAATAATTAAATAATATGAAGCAGATTGAGTTCAATTTATGTTATTGAAAAATGTTAACCATGTTATTGTGACAAAATATCATGTCAGATGTGCTCAGCATTACAGAATATTATAGAATCAGACAAAATATACAGTAATGAAAATTTACATGCTACATTGAATTTGGCTCAATATTCACACAACTTGTGGTTACTCTGCCATGTGATGTAAAGTACATATAAAAATCAATGTTTGCCAAAATTCATTGTTCAGATGAGATACTTTGTCATCCACCCATGTATATTAACAGGGGCTTCACAACCAGAAAGAAATAAACACAGATTTTTCATAAAAATGTGTTTCAGTGTTATACCGAAGACTGGAACCTTTGGCACGATAATACACTACACTGTTTCACCACTAACCAAACCGATTTTTTGAACGCCTCGACACGTGTTTCCCTAACTATGTTAGCATCTTCAAAAAAAAATTAAAACTAAATATCCTATTCTAGTGTGCTGCTTATATACTAGGTATATGTTCACCCAACCGTGAAAAATACTAACCGTCAAGTTAGTGATAATGTTTGTCATGGTTGAGTTCAGATGTTAATTTTAATTTTTATATTACTAAACTATATAGAAGGCTACATGGAATAGGTCCATTATCCTTATTTATTTACTGTTCTGGTTGCTACTATTAAACTGAATATCGAGCAAAATATCTTCGAGTGGAAATAAAATAAATGTTGGTAATGTGAACACCGTTTATTTACTACTGCCTGCTTCCGCATACTATACTCTGTACAAAAAACAATGGGTTTTTATATGGCTCTCAACAAGCTATCTCGAATTGATTATAATATACCTATGAATATACGAAGTTATACATATATAACAATTACTATTCCTAAATATCTCTGAGCTTTTATATGCGAATAATTTTCTAATATTATTAACTTGCTTAACTAATTTGAGGTAAGTAATATGTGTGTTATGATTCTGATCGAACATACGTTCGGCTACACAAGATTTATCTAACCTGCCATATCTCAAATGCACGGAAAAAAATGGTCCAAGTAAAATGTTTTCCTGACTTGTTTTGTATCGGGATTAGAGAAATAATACCTATTCCAGAAACAATTTTATTCAGCCTCTAGTAAAATGATAATTCTGAACGCATGAACTTGTAGCTATAATTTCATCCACCTATAGCAAATAGTTTTCATCTTAGATAATTCACTTTGTATAGCCACAGGGAAACATTTTATAAGCTCTGGTGAAGTGTATTTTAGACTTTATTAACTTCGAGTTTCTGAAAAGGAAATAATAACTACAGTAACTCGTGTTACAAGCACAATACAATTGTTTATCTGCGGTACAACCCAATATACCTACGGTAATACAACATGTTCACCTGCCCAGTAATCGGGAATAATCGTCGCCCTTTCGTGTTGTATATCCGAATTGATCAGAATCCATCAGCGTCACTAGCGTCAGTTTCGTCGTGACTTCGTGAGAGTATGTTCAGTGTTCAGTTTGAGGATTTGGTGCACGTGGTAAATCGAAAAATAATTTTTGGTGTTGTATTCATTATATTATGCTGAGGAAGTATGACTCATCACCACGAGAGGTATAGAATGTGCCATTCAGAATCCCTTTTGGGGGCGGCCGAGAGTTATAGACAACCAATAGTGCTGTTTTACTTTTTATCGATCTGTTATTCACTTAAAAGTTTATCATTGTGTAGAAATGACGTTATTCATAGTGATGAGTTCTTAAATAAAACTCCTTCATGTATTTTGCTGATGATATGTAGGATGAATTGACATTATATAGTAGGATTCCTGTTCAATTAAAACTGGTGAAAATCTACATTTTTCGTTTCCTTTCCTCAACGAATCATTAGTTATATTTTTATTTCTCACAATGTTCATATTTTTTTACGAATAACTGTTCATCAATTTATCTAAATAATGTATTGAGACAACCATTCAACAAATAAAGTATAGAACAGTGCCAATTATGATTCCAAACAGGAATATATCAATTTTTTTTAATTAGCCGATGGCCACCCTTATGGTACCCACACTCGGAATCCTATATTATTATTAATTGTCACTTAGAAAACATTTGCAAGATATGAACTGAACCATTGCTTTCTTGGTGACATTGAATTGTTCATTTATGAAATAAAAATGTATTGTAAGAAAATAAGGCATGATACATTACAAATGAATCAAATGATCCTTGTTTGAATGATGCCAAGTGAATTAGGAGTGAAGACAGGAAGAAAGTTTGACTGAGTCTGGTGTATCCCGATAACAAAGATGGGATGAAAGCTATCCAAGGTAAGACATTATAGATGAGGCCAAGTGAATCAAGATAATTATAGTTATTGAAATAAGCACCTAGCCAATAATGTCGTTGCATAACTCCAAGTGAAAAGTACACTACCCACAAGTGAGGTATTCTATGAGGCCAAGTGAAACAAGTCACCTATACTTATTGAACTGACCACCTATCCAATGATTCAGTTGTATAACTGCAAGTAAAATGTACACTAAGGCCAATAAAACAAAGATTCTGTCCCTAATGAAGCGTTTGATATCAGTAGGTTACATGTGTTCCTGAAATCACATTAATAACAACAAGTGATCAGATTCAGAAATATAATTTTTCTTGTGGCTGATGAGGCGAGTACTTGTCCCATATAGTATGCAAATTTTTACTTGGTAGTATGAAAATTTCACTAGCTGTTATTAAAGTTTTTTTTCCGTGTGGGCTATGTGTTCTTTGAACCTTGTTTTTATGGGTCGCCTGGTTTGGTCTATATATTGTTACGTTTTTGGGTGAAGGAGCGAACACGACACTATTTATTTTCGAACTGATTTATTTGAACTAAAGAAATACTAATTCATATCGAACTTATAACTACTATTCATGTGAAACGATTTATATCACGCGGTAGATGACTGTCTCTCTGACACTCGCTGCTCGACTGACTGACGGCAGTTGTCCGGTCGTTTATATATGACATCCCTTGGTAGGTTTTGTTTCTCGAATGTTCTCGAATGATCCCCCTTCTTCCCCCGTTTCAGAAGTTTCCTAGATCAAAACCTCCCTCTCTAATCGTTTTATCGATTGTTTCTAGAAGATTCCAGAATCTTTGTCTATGTCCTCACCAGGTCTACATCCGAAGACTAAGTCACATGGAAGCCTCATCTCTCGTACAAATAGAACCTTCGCCGGAGTCTGTCCTGTAGATTCCTGTACTGCAGATCTACGACTTTGCAGAGATATCTCCTTATGGTTCGGTTCATTCGCTCCATCATGCCATCTGACTGTGGATGCAATGGAGTTGTTCTTGCCTTCTTGATTCCTAACTTCTCGCTCATCTTCTTAAACACTTCACTTCCGAAGTTCTGGACCTGATCAGAGTGAAGTTCCAATGGCACCCCAAAACGACTGATGAGTTGATTCATTTGGACATCGGCGACAGTTGCGGCCTCCTGGTTAGGGATCGCATACGCTTCTACCCACTTTGTGGAGTAGTCCAGGCATACAAGGATGTATTAATTTACATCATCAGTCACTCGAAACGGCCCTGCAATATCCATGGCAATCCTCTCGAAAGGGCTTCCAATATTGTGCTGTCTCATTTGTGCCCTTGGTTTACGATGAGGCTCATTGCTGGCAAAGCAAACGGTGCATTTACGACACCACTCCGTGACGTCGTCATTGCAGTTCACCCAGTAAAACCGCTCTCGTGCCCGCTGCAGTGTCTTCTTTACTCCTACATGTCCCCCGGAAGTTTCATCATGTACATATCCGAGTACTTCCGACACTCGGCCCCTAGGAATGACCAACTGCATCCAATTATCCGACCCATCATCTCCCTCGAGATTCCTCTTGAGCAGGTCCTCCTCTAATACCAAGGAGTCCCACTGACTCCAGTACGCCTTCAAAGTCTATGAAGACGGTGCTACTTTTTGCCAAGCAGGGCGGCGATTCGCTTTTTTCCATTCTCGGAGCTTTCGAAGTTCTGGGTCTTTTTCTTGCTCTTGCTTGATTGATGCAGGTAACCAATCTTCATTGATAACGGTGGTTCTGCAGAGGGCTGCTTCCTTATCCTCCAAACGACTACAATGTGAGCACTCAGGTGGACATGGCCTTCTGGACAATGCATTTGCATTAATATGGCTTGTCCCTACTCGGTGTGCTATCTCGGAGTCATTTTCCTGGAGCCTCTCGATCCAACGAGCTACTTGGCCTTCGGGGTCCTTGAAATTCAGGAGCCACTTCAATGCAGCGTGGTCCGCCCTGAGTAGGAATTATCGTCCATGGAGGTACTTATGAAAGTGCTCCTGATTTTACCATGTCCAATAGTTTCCTCCTGGTAACGCAGTAGTTACGTTCTGCCTTTGATAGCACCTTGCTGAAGTAACCCATGACTCGCTCTCGCCCATCTTGATACTGCGAAAGAACTCCACCAATTCCGTACCTAGTATATAATACTTAGATCTGATTGCATTTAGCTATATAACCCTGTATTATAATTAACCAAAACTTATAAAGAGAAAATTATAAGAATTTCCTAGTATCATAAACTCAAAAAAAACTGGAACAAGCTCACCAGCTCTCCGGAACCGACGTGGTGCATACATGGCCCTTAGCCCCAGTGCCGTTCAACTTCAGGACTGGAGAATGATGAGCCTTAGTCGTCAGGCTAGAGGACAGGCCTTGATGGATAATACCATCACGAAAATGAACAGGAGTGGCATAGATGAGCCGGGTGAGCCAGTCGAAATTGCCAAAGTTGAGCCGAGTGAACGTGCCAGGATTGTGCCGAGTAAAGGTGTCGATGATTGTATCCAGAATCGTACCAAAGATCGTACCAACAAAAGCTGGATCAATTTGGGATCACGCGGTATCTCATGGAACTCGAGGGACTCGTGGAAGCCGACAAATCTACATGGATAAATGCAAATGTTTCACACACTGCATCATGAAAAATGGATTAACAGACTCACGGGGGAAGCGGCTTCACGAACACAAAATGAGGTGACACGGTGTTTTGCCCTTTGCCAAGGCAGAAACAGAAATGATTGTCTTTCCACCATCATGGCGTCTATCGTTCTCGAAGAAGGCGGATGACCCTTCCACAAAGACACCAAAAACTATTGAAAAAAAAACAACATCCACGGCCTACTTTGCATACTGCACACCCATGCTACTAGAAATGCTGAAGCACGTGATCAACAGACCACTCACGACTTCACACTTGTTTCAAATCTTGACCAGTTGAACAAAAGCTTCGAATCACGTGATATTTGATGACAATTGACGATCCATGACACCTGACCACGACTTTCATTGAAAATTCACTGATCTGGTTCTTGGCGTAGCGGGTACCAATTCGAAGAAGTTAGTTCCGAACGAAACGGTACTTGAGATGAAAAGAGGACCTAACGTGACTAATGGTATTGACATAGTACAATATGACTTTGGGATGATTGGAATTTATCATAATGACAGACAATGAAAAATAAATAAACAATCACTAATTTGAAAATAGCTTTCCAAAGAAATGAACCAGGAAAAGTAAGGAAGATCATGGCGCCTGCACGACTCTACTGGTAAGTACAAAACTTCTGGAATCCCAAATCGTAAATCCATGATTTCAACTAATAACTTGTTTTGCTCTTAGATTGCTCTGCCCAAAAATGTATATACAATTTCAAGGGTTAATTCTAATTTTCAGTCACTAAATGTTCCCAAAACATAATCAGTGAGCCAACCAATCCAACAGGTACAAAGACTGGAATAAATACCTACAATTTTCATGAAATGTAATTCACGTCTTGTAAGATTTTGTAATACAATGTGGACTAGAAGTCTAGCTGTTTACTTGGGATGGACTTGACACAAGTGTGAGCACAAATAGAGGAAACTGTACCATTCTGATACTCGAGTTGAGATAAAGGTGAATTTTCATGTTACACCTGACTTTGCAATGGTGACATCCTGCTTTGCAGAGAGGACTTATTGTCATCAGAGCCGGTACACTCCTCTCGTAAGGGTACCTCGCGTGTCTTCGTGCGGAAAAAGTTGAACGTTTCGTTATACTGAAGGGTCTTTCAACAAGGACCGGTCGACGTTGACAGTGTGTGGCGTCCATATTTTTTTTTGAGTATCTGTCAAATCTATTGTATTTGATATAGTCACTGATGCCAAATTACCATGGCAAGTTACACGATCGAGCAGCATGTCCAAATGATTAAACTTTATTATCAAAATGAGTGTTCGTTAGTGCAAACGTTGCGCATATTGCGCCTATTTCACGGCAGACGCGGTGGCCCTTCAAAGTCGACTCTCCAAAGTTCGGTAGTCAAATTCAAGACAACGGGTTCAGTGAACAAACAACCAACACCTTTACGTCGAAGGCACGCCAGATCGGCCGATAATATTGACGCTGTCCGTCAGAGTGTGCAGGAGACTCCGAGGCAGTCGATTTCTCGCCGTGTACAAGAACTCGGCCTTCCGCAGACTTCGACTTGGAGAATTTTGCGCCGGGACTTGGACTTGTATCCGTACAAGATCCAACTGACCCAGCAGCTCAAAGTCAATGACCATAGGCAACGCCGTCTGTTCGCTCACTGGGCTTCAAAACGTTTGGAAGAGTACTCCGATTTTGGCCAAAGAATAATCCCATTTTTAGATGAATGGTTTTGTTGATAAGCAAAATTGCCGTATATAGGAACACAATCCACAGGAGGTCCACCAGGTGGCAATGCATCCACAAAGAGTTATTGTTCTTCGAAAATGACCTTGGCGAAGCCATCACCATCAACGGCGAACGCTACAGATCAATGATTTACAATTTCTTTTGGCTTGAATTGAACGATATTGACGTGGACGACATGTGGTTCCATCAAGACGGCGCAACGTGCCACACAGCGAACTATACAATAGACATTCTGCACGAACGGTTTGAGAGTAGGGTTATCTTTCGCAGAGGTGATGTGAATTGGCCGCCAAGATCGTGCGATTTGGCTCCACTAGACTTTTTCTGGTGGGGTTTTCTGAAGTCGCAGGTATATGTAAATAAGCCGCAATCGACCGATGCCCTGAAAGTGAACATAACGCAAGCCATTGCTCAGATTCAGTGGGATTTTTGCAGCAGTCATTGAAAATTGGACCTCTCGGATCCGTGCCACCGTTCGATGCCACGGCGGACATTTGAATGATGTCATATTCCATGGCAAAAGAGGGCCTCTCAAATGAAATAAAAAACTCGTTAATATCTGACACACAGCTCGTTTCATTCAATTACAACATCGGCCGGGCTTTGTTGAAAGACCCAAGTAACTTTCTTTTACTAAACATGTTGACGGGACTTCTGTCCAGTTCAGATTTATCAACAGCCTCCGTTTCATGAGTTACTCTCACGAGTTCGCTCCTGATTCAACCAAATTACCCATTTGAGGTCTAAATTCTTCAACATCGCCGAAGATCAACTCCAGCTCCTGACTAAAGAAGGTGTGATGTTGAATGAATACATCGATTCGTTTGAGCGCTTCACCGAAACCCGGCCACCTTCAATTGATGCCTTTTATAATAAATTACACGATATGACCGGCCCTCGCAGATTTCATCTCCGCGACAATCTTGTGTGAAATAAGTTCAATTTTCGAGACTTGAGTCAGTACGTGAATCTATACATGATGACTGACGAAGACGTATTTGAACAGTTATGTACCAGCTGCCTCACTTGGGATGCCATGTTGAAATATACGAATCAGGATATTTTTGAACTTATAATCGATCCTTACATGTTTTCGTTTGTTGAGCAAGGCATTTAAGGTCTCAATCGAGTTTGTTCAAAAGGAGGAGCTCACGCAAACAATACATATATTCCTGATTATGATCCTTCAAAAACTTGATTCCTGCTTAATTTACTATGACGTCAATAATCAATTCGGGTGTGCTATGTCTCAAGCTTTACCATATGGAGGCTTTGAATGGAAAGTTGATAAGGAGGTGGAAATGTTAAAAATAGAGCAGAACGGTGTACCGATGATTGATTAGGTTGGTCTAAGATCAAAACTCTATCCAACTAGAATTCAAACTACGAAAGATGGCATCATGAAGAAACGAGAAGAACTGCTTTCATGTAACGGAAAAAGCAAAGAGTGTGGAGTCGCCTCCCGAGAAAACATCAATTACCTTCGCTGATTATGTTTAGTGAATAATTGTTAAAAAAAAATGTCACTCGAAATTTCATCAGATCCGATGAACATCGACTTCATTCTATCATGCAAAATGAGATTGCTCTCAGTCCAAATGATGATAAGAGATATGTTATCTTAGGAACTGATGGCACATTAGCCTCGGGGCACTATTCAATCGATAATTCATAATTCAAGATACCTTGATGAGTATAAATGATCTACTATCTGAATCGAAATCAGGCGTTTGATCTGTCATTCAAGGAAACGAAGTTGTCAAATATTCACTCCCACGGAAAGAAAAAAATATAAACTCTTGTGGACGGTGGAGTGAATTGACCTCAGCATGCATCCTTTGGTGTCGATATACCTATTTAAGCTTTGCAATCCGAGTTGTCAGTCTTTAATGTCATTATAAAACAAGTAAATATAATATCCTGCCTGAATTTCAATGATATCATACGCTTCTTCATTCTCCGAACGTACTGCTAATCGCAAATTTCGAATGTTGTTACACAATATACGAATCAATCAATTCATGATGACAGAAGTGTCAACTTGACTTCCGTTCAAATACCATCAACTGTCCATGGCATGCATGATGAAAATAGACTGGTGTAACCACTTGTCAATTGTTTTTTTCCAAAACGTGTAGACCGCGAAACACCGTAGCAAGGCCGCAACGGATTGATTGTAGATGGCTTAGGGAACATCGTGCCACATAAACTTCACAGATATAATGAAAATTTCACGTCTTCTTCACTTTTTCTCAATGTTTTTGAATTACGAATTAATATACGTAAATGTAAACAACAAAACAAAACAACAATTGTGTAGCAAGATCACTTCGGGAACAGCGCCATCTAGTGTTAGTTTTGCGCGGCCTTACTACGGTGATAGAATTCGACATAATCAAGCAGGCCAGAGGTCTACAAAAATTTCTAGGGTTTTGTAAGAGGGAGCTATTTCACCATACATATATCCACCTTTATGGCATGTATCATTGGATCGAGAGATAGACCGTTTGAAGCACAATGTCAAGAATGATGCTTTGAAGGAATGCGTTCGTTGATAAAATCATATATATACAGGGTGTCCCAAAATTAGCCTGTCAAACTTCACCAGCGGCTTTCACTACCAAAAATGAAAAGGAAACTTTCAATGAAAATGAGTCGAGGAATGTCTTCCAAGGGAGCTACGGCCCCCTGAAAGGGGGCTCCTGAAGATGATATTTCTTGAATATTTCCGAAAATCCATGTAATAAAAAGATGAAATTTGGTACAAGAACTGAATTTTCCATGCCGAATGCAGTGAAAATGAAATTATTTCAAAATTTCAATCAGGAGTGTATAAACAGCGTGGGACTACATTAAATATTGCTCAAAATTCTTTGTATGCATATCTTTCGACAATTCAATCTCTCTTAAAACAGTTTTAATCTTCTCCTGAAGATGCTAACATAGTTAGCGAAACACGTGTCGAGGCGTTAAAAAATCGGTTTGGTTAGTGGTAAAACAGTGTAGTGCATGTACAGGGTGTTCGCGGGGATATCTCCCGCCTATAATTTTATATCGTCCGGTGATTGATGTGTGTGGGAGTATAGGGGAAGATACACAAAAAAAGGTGATCTTCCGGTGAGATGTGGCAAGGACAGCCCCTTCTTCATAGGCACCATTTTGTCTGCAGCAGTCTACCAGCCTGGTCACAAAAGTAAGCCGTGAGATCTGTTTCTTGAATAATTTCGAATTTGTCTAACATTCGATTTTCCATTACTTAGTGTTGGGATTAATTAGAAAAAGATCTCAAATTCGGAATATCCATTATCATCGCTGAGATGGGATTCCTGTTGCCTCTATAGAGGGATTCTTCGTGGCTGAAATCCACGTGGCCGACGACGAGACTTGCTGTACCACCACTCCTGGAACCCACACACCATCCAAGGTACTATATATTCTTTTAATCATCAGCTGCTATTTTCTTGTAATTCCTTGTGTTGGTAAAATAACGCACGATTGTCGTCATTCCATATAGGGTTCCTTTTATCGGGCCAAAGCCTCCTCTCCCGACTGTCGCACTCAAGTTTTGCGCCCCACCAGCTCAGACCTGGGACTGTCTTGTAGTCGTCGGCAGACAACGCTTCGCTGCGTCAATTCGCGTTTTTGGGGCCTGCTCGTTTGTGGCTGAAGGGCGACACACCGGAGACACCACCTGACAACGCTGCCTGACTTCACCTGATCCCCCTGTACATCAGGACCTGCTCATAATTTGGTGAGTTCGTTCCATGCACCATCAGGGATAGTATTTTACTTGGGATAAACTACCACCAACCATAATTCATCAGTTTAAAATTTCATTCAACATAATATAATTGCAACATGTCATTGATTTAATATACACTCAGTATAGCTACATAACATACCCCTGTAAACCAAAAGTGCACTGCGGTAAAATAGGCCTTATTATTTCTTTTGTCTCATTGATACTGATTCATTGAGTTATTTTGTTGATTAATAAGCTATATATCATCATACTGTCTCAGAGAGTTGATTTTGAGCAGTGATTGTATTATTTCACCCTGATCTGAAGAGTTGATTTCAGTCAGTCAATTTATATTTCTTGTTGTTGCAATAATTGTACACTCTTTAGGTAATATTGCTATTGATACTCAGTTACTTTGGAAGTCTTGAGCCAACTATAGTATCATTTGGAGCACATTATTTGTTATTTCAGAAATTACTTGTGATTAAACGCATATTCATCCCTATCAAACTTAGTATTTTACCAAGCCTAACGTACCCACCCATTTGTCCCGCTGAACTACCAGTGTCTAGTTTCTACGGTATCAAACTGGGCACTAAAAACACTTTATCTGTTGTCAATAAAATTAAGATTTAAAACACCTAATAAATCCTAGTTAATTCATCCACCAAACTCAGGGGTAAATAAAATTCTATTCCATTTTTTTTACTACTCACCCCCTGAGGTTCAAAGGCATAACATATGTCATATATCATATTACAGATATATGAATGGCTATTATATTTACATCAACGAATAATGCATATTTTCACTACTACTTATTATTTTTCTCTCATTTCCTCTTTCCTTCCTATAAATGTTCATCAAGTCTGTAATTCTCCTAACAACATAGCCAATACTCTGTGGAGGAGTGACCCCAAAACAACAATAGAGCCATTTTCGTAGTTTTTGACCTTAAATTTCCTTGAGGACATTAACACGGGAAAACTGTCCATAATGAGTAAGTTCTCTTGCTGTACATGATATACTACTGAGGTACAGGAGCTGCTGACTGAACTGATATTCCTTCAGTTATATGAGGTGGAAAATCTATAAATTATATTGATCATAAAATTGCTCTACGTTTTGTTGATATTTCACCGAAATAGCGTCACGCGTTAGGTCCTCTGACTGTAGTGTAATTATTCAAGCAGTCTGATGGGACATAGTATTCTTGCTATGAACATTCTCAAATAACATTTTTTGGCT